CCTCTCCAGTGTGTGATTTTATAAGTGCATCAGATATTGACCGAACCTGCTTTTGATTTTTCGTTTGCAATTGCACTGTAGTTGCACTGTATTCTTTCTAATTCCTAAATACTGAACGATGTGTCTTTAATTGTGTATATTTTCTCTATCTATCTTTTTATCTCTCTCACACACATATTTATACATAAAGATGGAAATATTGATAGATGAATAACTTATAGATGGACATATAGATCAATAGATGAATATATCAATACACAGTAGAAACAAAATACGAAAACTTCGAAGTACAAAGTTTTCGTAAAAATAAATTATTCTTCCTTATATCATATATAAAAGAGGTCAATAGAAAACCATTAAACTACTTATTACGCAGTTATTTTCATATCAAAAAGAAACGCCAAGGATGCTTCCAGTAGAATGTCAAAAGTACCTAAATAATCGTATCTGTGACTTCGCATCGCATCCATTGTCACTTGTTTTTCATTATGATTTTTGAGGTGTAGAGACGGCACCAAAATTACTCTAGGGGTGACATTTATGAAAGAATTGAAGCAGTCGAATCAAAAGAAAGGTGCAGAAAAGAAAATTCATGAACATTAGAAGAGAGGGATTGATGGTTTTATTGCCTAAGAATAGACGTAATCAGGAATTTAGTGAATTTTAGCTTGGTATATTCCGGCAACACACACACACACATACGTTCTCTTCTTGCTGTCCTTGCGTTCAACTCCCCGCCTGACAGTGGATGGCAACCCCGGCCATTCCTCGCACACAGGGGGTCGTTTAGAAACATAATAAACAGACAAACCACAATTTGGCTGATGTCACAGAGCCTGTCCCAGCAAAACCTAAATTATTATCACACACATAATAAGCACAAACTCACTCATATATATCACATCACCCCTCTCCTCTCTCTCTCTCTCTCTCTCTCCTCTACTCTCTCTGCTCTCTCTCTCTCTCCATCTCTCTTCATCTCTTCTCTCTGCTCCTCTCCCACTCTTTCTCTTCTCTCTCTCTTCTTTCCTCACTCTCTCTCTCTCTCTCTCTCCTACTCTCTCTCTCCTCTCTCTCTCTCTCTCTCTCTCTCTCTCTCTCTCTCCTCCTCTCCTACCTCTCTCTCTCTCTCTCTCTCTCTACCTCTCTCTCTCTCCTCTCTCCTCTCTCTTCTCTCCTCTCTCTCTCTCTCTCTCTCCTCTCTCTCTCTCTCTCTCTCTCTCTCTCTCTCTCTCTCTCTCTCTCTCTCTCGCTCTCCTCTCCTCTCTCTCTCTCTCTCTCCCATCTCTCTCTCTATATAATATAGTTATCTATTTTCATTTTTACTAATATTTCTACGGTTAAAATGTCGAGGTCATATTATCGTTACAGTAGTTACAGCGAGGACGACATATCAAAATCATTATTCCTCTCTCTCTCTCTCTCTCTCTCTCAGAGTTCCCAAAGGTCATGCAACATTTTGGTCATTGCGCCGGAGGGTTAACACATTTTTTTCAGTCAGGTCGTTGGAGTTCAGAGTTTAAATAAAGGTTGACAGGAAAATATGACTTCACTTCACCTGAAGGCTTTTCTGGGACAAAACCATTGATTTCCGAGCTCTTAGGATACGGAAAAGAATTGAAGTAAGATGTACATAATGTTTATTTTCTTAGGAAGAATATTTGTATACAATTTTAGTGTAAAACATTTCCATGAGACAATGTGACATTAATGTTAACAATTGAGAGTGGCTCGCAGTTCCTAATATTAAGATAAGAATAACTTTTTTTTTTTTTTTTTTTCGTTATTGTAATTATCATCGTAATTATTATCATCATTAACATTATTATTATTTGATTACTCTGTCTCCCCAGTTCCTTTTCGAGAAATTCCTTATCTGATAATCTAACATATTCTTACACACATACCTTACATTTCGAAATAGTTATAATGAATGGGGTTAAATACAAGTATGAGGGTAATACAGACACCAAATGGAGGCGATCAGGTAACAGGTCAAGAGGTATTAGTGGAGGACATGCAGCATATGCATATCATATTAAGACTTTTTCGGGACAAAATTCATATACATCCATTTGTTATTAAGTGTGTTTATACGGAAAAGATATGTACATATTCCCCTGTGACTCACCCTGTTGTCGGTGTTGCCAGTGAAGTGAACACTCACGTTACATCATTTTAATTTCAATTTTCGACTCTATCGAAAATCTTCAACATATACAAAGCATTTCATAAAGTTATTCATCTACACCGTTACTCGTAGTCGGCAAAATCCCCTTGGAGTGGAATCCCCTTGGAATCCCCTTGGAGTGGGAGTGGAATCCCCTTCCCCTAGGAGTGGAATCCCTTGGAGTGGTGGAATCCCCTGGAGTGGAATCCCCTAGGAGTGGAATCCCCTTGGATGGAATCCCCTAGGAAGTGGAATCCCCTAGGAGTGGAATCCCTTGGAGTGGAATCCCCCCCCTAGGAGTGGAATCCCCTTGGAGTGGAATCCCCTTGGAGTGGAATCCCTTGGAGTGGAATCCCCTAGGAGTGGAATCCCGGAGTGGAATCCCCTAGGAGTGGAATCCCCTTGGAGTGGAATCCCCCCCCTAGGAGTGGAATCCCTTGGAGTGGAATCCCCTGGAGTGGAATCCCCTAGGAGTGGAATCCCCTAGGAGTGGAATCCCCTTGGAGTGGAATCCCCCTGGAGTGGAATCCCCTAGGAGTGGAATCCCCTAGGAGTGGAATCCCTGGAGTGGAATCCCCTAGGAGTGGAATCCCTTGGAGTGGAATCCCCCTGGAGTGGAATCCCTTGGAAGTGGAATCCTAGGAGTGGAATCCCCTTGGAGTGGAATCCCCTAGGAGTGGAATCCCTTGGAGTGGAATCCCTAGGAGTGGAATCCCCTTGGAGTGGAATCCCCTTGGAATCCCTTGGAATCCCTTGGAGTGGAATCCCCTAGGAGTGGAGGAGTGGAATCCCCTTGAAGTGAATCCCCTAGGAGTGGAATCCCCCTGGAGTGGAATCCCCTTGGAGTGGAATCCCCTTGGAGTGGAATCCCCTAGGAGTGGAATCCCCTAGGAGTGGAATCCCCTTGGAGTGGAATCCCCTAGGAGTGGAGGAGTGGAATCCCCTAGGAGTGGAATGTGGAATCCCCTTGGAGTGGAATCCCTGGAATCCCCTAGGAGTGGAATCCCCTAGGAGTGGAATCCCCCTTGGAGTGGAATCCCCTAGGAGTGGAATCCCCTTGGAGTGGAATCCCCTTGGAGTGGAATCCCCTAGGAGTGGAATCCCCTAGGAGTGGAATCCCCTAGGAGTGGAATCCCCCCCCCTTGGAGTGGAAAATCCCCTTGGAGTGGAATCCCTTGGAGTGGAATCCCTGGAGTGGTCCGGACCCCTTGGAGTGGAATCCCCTAATCCACTTGGCTGACGTAAATGGTAGGGATTCTGGATCGCGGACAGGAGTCGCAGGAACCCGCTGTTGGAAGGAAGGGAAATAGGACTCAAAGCTATAATTATGTGGTCGTCGCTTCAGTTAGTTTTCTTTCGGTTTGTCTGTCTGTCTCAGTCCGTCCTTTGGTTTATATGTCTTTTAGTCCATCTTTCCGTTTGTTTATCAGTGTTTCTCTGTCTGTATTTCTTTCTGTCTTTCCTTCTGTCAGTCAGTCAGTTTTATATGTTCATCTGTCCGTCAGTCTGTCTGTTTTACAGAGATTACAGATATTAATGTAAGAGCTCTTAGTCGACAAGAGTTATAATTTAAAATTCCATACAAAATCATTATACCGGTAAAAAAGAAAAAATATTGTTTTCTCAAAAGGAAAAAGCAGCAAAGAACACTCACAGAAAAAGGTAAGAAACAAACAGAAAAGACAGCAAAAACAGTAAACTAGGGGAGACGAAAAAAAAAAAAAAAAAAACAATAACAACAGGAAATGAATAATAAATAATAACAGAAGAGATCATACCGACAACGATAATGATCTTAACAACACAGATAACATCAATAACAAAAAAATAAAGAAGAAAGAAAGAAAGAAAGAATAAAAACGGATGATAAAGAAAGGAACAGACGAACAACTCCAAAGTAAACCTCCAGCCGAATTACCTGGTCCTGATCTCCCGCTCCTCCAGGTGTGCGATGGTGTCCGGGAGAGGCACGTGCAGCGTCTCCGGCAGGGCGAGCGTGGCCAGTCCCGCGAGCACCGACGCCGCCCCGAACACTGCTGACGGCGCCCACGGGTACAAGGGGCCCTGGGAGGAGGAAGAGGAGGGAGGGAGAGGGAGGAAAAGAGAGGAGGGAGGAAAGAGAGGGAGGGAAGGAAGAAAGAGAGGGAGAAGGAAGGAAGAAAAGAGAGGGAGGAGGAAGGGAGGACAGGGAGGGGGAGGAAGGAGGAAAGGGAGGAGGGAGGAAAAGAGGGGAGGGAGGAAGAAAAGAGAGGGAGGAACGGGAAGGGAAGTAAGAAGGAACAGGGAGGGAGGAAAGGAGGGAGAGAGAGTTTATAGAAATAAAGATTTAAACAAAGAGCAAGAAGACTGTCATATCTGCTGTCATGCAGAGTAATTGGTAAAAATCAAACTCTAAAACACATCAAGCCATTCAAACTACTTACATAATATTCCTTCCCATGGAACATTCACCATGATTTATTCCTGTTAAAATAAAGAAAAAAAGAAGAAAAAATTACCAAGTAGTCCGTGATGAAAGGCGAACAAGTAGACCCCACCCTTGACATGACAAGGGCTGTGCTCATGCCCCTCGTCCTAACCTCGGTGGGAAAGAGCTCTGAGGAGTAAAAGTCGAGGATCTGGAAGGCCGAAGCGATACTCATCTTCCCCATAAGGGCTAAGGCCATCGATTCCCCAGTACCTGAGAGGATAATTAAATATTATTTTAGTTCCCCTTATAATTCTAAAAATAACGTTTTCTATTATATTATTTATGAAGGGTATTCTATGCTAAATGTTTTACTTTCCTGTTTTGATTGTCAGGGAAACTTCTTGGTATTGACTGAAGACATGTTTGTAGACAGTAAATTCCTAATTTTTTTGGCATAAGAAACAACACGAACAAAAAAGAACAAGATGAGAAAGAAGGAAATCATGCTTTCATTTTTCTCAGGTTTTCCATTATGAAACCATATACATATTCCATGAAACAAAACCTCCACCCCAGACAACCTCACTCACCCGTAGGCACGAAGGGCAGTGCGAGAAGAGCCACGGCGCCCATGAAGAAGAAGGCGACAACGGGAGCCCTCCTGCCGTAGCGAGCCACCAGGGGGATGACCAGCGTGTAGGCCGGCAGCTCCACGACCCCCGTCAGCACCATGTACAGGAACGGGTCGGAGCTCAGGTCGCCGCCGCTGAGCGAGAGGCCGAAGTACACAGCACCCACCAGTAGGTAGTTTGGTGTACAGGCTGAGGGTGATGGTGCGAAGGCGGGGGGTTCTGTTGGGTGAGGGGCGAGGGTGTGAGGGGTGGGGGGAGTGGTGGAGAAGCAAAATGAGTATCGTCTTTGTAGGAGGATATATTGTCTTTACTATCATTGTCATCTTCGTTAATTTTATCACTATTACTAATACCATTCATATTGCTCTTATAATCAAAATAATTCTGTGGGTTTGAGACTACATCCTCTGCACGCTTTCAGTAACCGACATAGCGAAATATGTCAGAGAAATTGCAATATTTCCACGAAAGCAAAATATACAGACAAGATATACAAGATTTTTCATTCATATAAAGAATCGTATGATATATTTCAGCAATGTATAAGGAAAGTTTGGCAGAAGGAAGAGGAGGAGGAGGAGGAGGAGGACGATGAGGAAGGAATGAAGAAGGATAGGAGGAGGAGGAGGAATAGAAAAGAGAATAGGAGGAGAGGAAGGGGAGGGAGGAAGAGGGAAAAGTGACCTGCCTGAAAAGAATAAATGCTTCATCCAAACGCCTTCTGAACCAGCCTCTCGCGGTGTGGGCGCGGGCGTCTTGGTGCGGGCGTACCATTGCCTACGTCACGGGATCAAGTGATAAAAGAAATACAATAAATAAAAGGATTATGAACCAGGGTTATTCTTCTGTCTTGTATTGTATATTCAGAAGCATGATGAGTGACAGGATTTATATTTCGAGGAAAATTGATTTAAAAAAAGATGTATATATAAAACACACACACACACACACAACACACACACACACACACACACACACACACACACACACACACACACACACACATATATATATATATATATATATATATATATATATATATATATATATATATATGATAAATGTGTTCCTTTTACACATGCGCACAAGCACGCGCTCGCACCTCGTCCTTGACTCCGTCCTTGAGCAGGAGCAGAAGCTCGTCCTCGGGGGGAGGGCGACCCCGTTCCACCTGGCGGCCCTCTGCAGCACTCGGAGGGCGCGCCGGTGCTGCCCCCTCACGGCCAGCCACCGAGGCGACTCGTCCATGAACCTAATAGGATAATCCAGAGGAGGTGAAGGAGGAGGAGAGGAGGTGAAGGAGGTGAGAGGAGAGGAGGAGGGAAGGAGGAGGGAGGAGGAGGGTGGGAGAAGACGGATGGTAGAAAGAGCGGCTGGATGATGGAGGATGGATGTGGGGAGAGGCTGGATGATGGAGGATGGATGGAAGAGAAGGATTAAGGAAAAGGAGAAGACATTGACGAAGGAAGGAGTTCAGGCTCTATCACACAGCAAAACAGGCCAAAGAGAGAGAGAGAGAGGGAAAGAGCAGAGAGAGAGAAGAGAGAGAGACAGAAAGACTGAAACAGACAGACAGACAGACAGAGAAAGAGATAAATAGATAGTGAGAGATAGACACAGATATCGAAAGTTGTATCACAGAAATCTCATCGAAACTTACCACAGAGTAGGCAAGAAGGCCAGACACAGCAAAGACACGGTCAGCTGAAGCATCCGCCATTCCCGGACGAGGTAAGCGAACCCGCCCCACGCCATGAGACTAAGCGCCCATGGCAGAAACAATGCAATGCCGATATGCGTGCGCCACTTGGGATCCGCGACCTCCATGCCTGCGAAAATTGATAACGCTCTAAATGGTTTTGTACTTTCTCTTATCTCTTTCTACCTCTATCTCTCTCTCTCATCTCTCTCTCTCTCTCTCTCTCTCTCTCTCTCTCTCTCTCTCTCTCTCTCTCTCCACCCTTCCATCCTCATCGTTATTGCCATCTGTATCTCTGTCCACTGCCTTTCCTATACCTTCTCCCCTCTTTCTCTACCTGTTCCTTTTCCCTTGCCTTCTCCCTCCTCCGCCACCCCTCACCTAGTATATATCCCGTCTTCAGTATCGTGGGGTCGACGGCGCCCATGAGAAAGCGCGAGAGCAGGAGAGCCGAGAGGTTGGGGATCCAGCAGGAGCCGATGGCCAGGGCGGAGTAGGCGACAAAACCCACGGCCATGGTCATCTTGCGCCCGTACCTGTTTAATGGTAGAATTTTAAGTTATTTTGGATTCTATATCCCTAAGATGAATTTTAGGTTAGTGATACTCGTTTTATAGTATAAGACTGCTGACATTAGATTTTCCAATTCTTAGAAGAGAAAGTATGGCTATGCAAAACAGACTAGATATGTGGATATACGAAAATTCACTTTTTAATAATAAAAAATTATCCTTAATGTAGAAAAGGTTTGGTTATAGCTTTTAAACACATGGTCCCCAGTTATGTGTATACTCTAATTATAATTATTGCAATTATCTTATGGATAGGCACAAAAAGGCCTAAGAACTATAAACCTGGACTTGATTTGCAGAATTCCTGTTATGATATAGCATATAAAAACAAGTTTAACCAAACGCAACTCATCTTTCGCTTTAGGAGGGGGTTATAAATAGGGTTTCAGACCTAAACGCGTTGTCAAAGAAAAAAAAAACGTTAGTCATGTGGTTAGAGGTTAGTAGACAAAACTACGAA